AAACCTAGGGCGAAATAAACTATGGTACGACGCACCGTAACAGACGTAGAGTCCAGATATGTGCTTATGTGCCGGCACAAACAAAATAATATTATTTTCTTTAGTGTTCTAACATATTATTATCGCCGCTAGTGAGCAAACAAGTTGTAACCCGCTAAAACGAAAATGTCGTCAGAGCCGAAAATCTTTTTATAAAAAAAAGAAAAAACTACTTTATTTCTATTCGTATTAATCGACTTAGGGTTACCAGATTTGTTGCTATGGATGTTCACAAGATTTCTTTTTTCTGGAAAAAATAAAAAATGTATTCTGGCTCTTAAGATAAATTTTGGTTGTTATGGGTTATTATATGTTTGCTTTCAGCGTCGATAATTATATATATAGTAGCACGATCACACAGGTACGGATAAACACTAATAAATGCGGACCGAGCCTAGTCATATTTATTAGCATACGTTGTTTGTAACTGCAAGGCAGTGTGAGTAGATCTAGATGTCTTTCGATGTCATAATCAGGTAAAATCATCGTACAAAACGAATTTTGAAAATCGTTCTATAATTTTTTAATTTTGAGTGATATATATAATAAAAATATGCAACATTTAAAAAAAAATGATTGGAATGCAAAATCACAACGTTTAATTTCTTCCTTGATATAAATATGTCATCGAAGTATTTTTTTTATTCGATATGACTTAATATTTGTATGTAGAGAAATCGGAGAACATTTCTAAAAAACACATGGTCATGTAACATAGTACATTCATGTAACATAGTAAATTCTTCCTGTTCGATCCATAGCGTAAGATTGTGCCCCGATAGTTGGGACATTAACAATGATGATATCTACATTGTTCTGCTGTCTAGATAGTTAAGAAAGTTCCATAATTAAAATATATTTATAACCATAAATAAGAGGAACTTTTAGTTTACCAGACACATTAATATGATCATTAATATATACTATTCTAAAAATATCTTTTATTCCAAAGCGTTTCAAAAGTCTATTGAAAAGGTGTCTCGGAATTTTCATCGAAACTTATAGGTCGGATTGTAATTAAATTCATTTATTTCGACAATATTTCGATAGCATAATTTTAAGGAGAACTTTATTCTCTATTTGATTTAACTTCAGTGGTATGAAGTTTAAGTTACTTAATATAAAGATGTTGTAAAACATTTTACAATTTAACGAAAACGTAAATTGATTATTCATAGAAAGTTAAATTATTATCTTGGTTTTAAAATTGCTTATGTTTTATACCTAAAGAATTAATATTAAATGTTATCCACCAACGGGTTTGTTCACGTGCTTTACACGATTACTTGACAGTAGATTTAACTCTTGAGGAATGTTTAGTGGGATAAAAATTAGCCAGTGTGTTATTTCAGGCATTCAAGCTTAGAATTATAGGTATCCCAAATTTCATTAAAATTAGTTCAGTAGTTTTTGTATGAAAGTGTAACAAACGTAAATTATATCTATCCTCAAAACTTTTGCATATATAAATAGGATTGGATATAGTAATATAAATGTCCTTCAAATCTGTTTTTAATATAATTTATGATATATCTTGTACGACCTTACAAAATCTAAAGTCAAACAAACTATAAACAGAAAATGGAATGTCATCCATAGACTTAGGAATTTACGTAAGGAATTATCAGACGAATTACAAAAGAAACCATCCGATATTGTTGTATCTGTGACGACCTTACAACTAAATGCCATGCAAATGCTAATAGCTTCCATTCCTCGCACTTGTTGAAGGTGAGAGGTGTAGATAAAAGGCCAGATATAGTTTATATTTCAGATATATCGCTTTATATAATAATTTCTGTACCGTGACATATTTTATGAAGAGAAAAAACTTTATTGATTTCAAACAATCGCCGCTACTTATGATTTCATAAAACATTTCTAATCTAAATTTCACTTTCAAAATTGTTGTAAAACTTTCTTCTTTTCCGGTTTCTATTGAAAATCTACTAAAATTATATATCTTGTGATATGACTTCAGATGTTTTTGCCCTTATCTCCAAAATAAAGGCAAAAACATCTGAAGTAATTAATTTAACACGAAAGAGGTATTCGCGTGGACAATTATTAAACCACACGTGAAAACTAATCACAGAGAGTGCTGAAGTAGTCTGGTACATTACATATCGCATGCTATTAATTATTTTTTCAGTTACAACTCACACATTGAGATTTTAAGGCAATGTATGAACTTAGATTTCATTTGATTCGTACAGTCTAGTGAACGCCGAAAGTAGGTATAAAAAATACCATATATACCCCTGAAAATTGTATAAGCGTTGTCTTGATACATAATCAAATTAGCGTCTGGACATTTGATTCATTATTTGCAAACAATTTCTTAGCAATATGGTAAATATTACGCAGTATGTACATATGAAGATCGTAATCAAGTAATTGCACGCCTACCCATACATTCTATTCAGTTAGGATAAAACTGATTATTACATCTCGGGCATAGAGCTGCCGGTATCCCATACTGAGTCCATATATTACGTAGCTGTTATCACATTATCGTTGTTTATCGCCGTCGCCGGCCGTAACGAGGCTCGTCCCGGTGGATTTTACGTAATTACCCGCCGGACACCACGCATTAATTGGATTGGCCTTTTGAAATACCACGACCAGTTAAAAATCACCAGACAATACATCTTTAATATATAATGTCCTATGCCATAGCAACTCATTCGTCTCCGTTTTATATTTCAGAAATAATTCAAAAGCAGTCGTGATCTGCGGTTCTAAACTTTAAAACCCGAAACTTTGAATACAATTTTTGGTGTAAGCAAAATGTCTGAGACCAGCTGAGCGTTCCCGATCGTGTTACATGAATTCAATTTTATTTGCTTTGAGGCTGACGTCGATTTCCATTTAAGTTTTGTGAATAGATCCTCTAGCGGACGGAACGGGATGTCGTCGTCTGATTTCACGGCCAGTTGGCCGCTTGTTTGTCGCTCTCGTCGCTCGAAGATCGCTTCGTTCGTGTCAGTGACCGCCGATGGACGTCCGTCATTCCGCAATCGAGTTTCAAACTTTAAATCACTTCAGGAAGCTATCACAGATCCCGATTGCAGCCCGGCCGTGAGATCTGATTACCACTCTGTTGTCTTTCTATTATCTACGCTGTTTCCGTCGTCTAATCCTGCTTAATTTTCCATGCAAATCCATTTACCTTTGATTATGAAAAAGCACTTTGGTTAATTATAATAAACACTGAAATTTAAATTAACTTTATAAGCCTTCTCTGACTTTAATCTGACTTTAAGATTGTTATTATTAATCAAAGAATAATTATGTTATAAAGATTTCAGAAGCATTAATGATAAAGATTATGTATTGTAAAGTAGAATTTTAACTATTTCTTAAATTTTAAAGAAGGGTAAAGTTGAATTGGATAAACTTGCTACGCTGTGTGGAATGTTAAAGGCAATTGGGCTTTGATGCTTTTACACGGACCGACAGAAATAGTCCACAACTGTGGCGTAATCCAATCGACACCACTTCCCGTGCGATGTATGATTTTCGACCTTATTGTTTCCGTTTAAAGCCTATATCTCTATCGTCCATAGCGCTATCTAGCTATCGCGATGGGCGATGCAGCGAAGAGCACCGCCGGTATAAGCTCAAAGCTAATCGATCGGAACCATTTGCAATCACCTGACTTGTATCAAACTGATTAATTGCTTTCTGCTACTGAAACTCTTATGTAACTTTTTCGAGTTTCAAGAATTCCAAATTTACATGATAGGTTTTTATCTATGAAATTGCCATTTTTCATGAAATGAATAAAGCGTATTTTTTTCTCAATTTTTTATTTTTATTAATCAAAGTAATCATGCAATCAATGCATCTTTGCCAACGTATTGGTAGCTTATTGATGCCCTTCTTGAAGAAATCAGCTGGACGGGAGGCAACAAATTCTTCAAAGGCATTTTGTACTGCCTCTCGGGTATTGAATTTTTTTCCCGCCAAGAAGTTATCTAAATTCTGGAAAAAGTAGTCTGTAGGCGCAAAGTATTTTTTCAAATCAAAATCTCCAGAACGGAAGAGAGCAAACCAATAACGGGTGGTGCGTTCGTTTGTAGTGTTCGCTCCGTAAACATCGTTGATATTGCGTGCCGCTTTGCTGCCACGACGGTACTCACCGTCGTGGTTATACTCCATATTTGCTCGAATTTTTAACTTATCTTTGAAGAAGAAAAATGTTCGAATGTGTTGAAAACAAAACACTAACTGTTAAACAAAAGAGGATTTGAGAAAAAAGAATTTCGTGTTTCAAAATAAAATCAGAATTATCAGCCAAAAAATATAAATGTCAAGTACGGCTGAACGGCAATTTCATAGATAAGGACGTATTATTTTCAGCTATAATTTTCAGTCGATCAGTTTTCTTCTATGACTTACTTAGCTAGCATATGACACAGTTTCAATGGTGTAAAATAGATTAAGTTCTAAAGCGAAGCTGGCAAGATTACATTTAAGAGAAGCAAACAAAGTTAACGATTAGCCTGCAAGCTACAAGAAACTAATTAACAGGAAAAGCACTTCGTCCCACAGGATTTACATTTATTGCAGTTTAAGTTTATTTATAAAATGTAGACTTATTAAAATGTAAATAAAGATGAGTACTTACATTAAAAATATAAGATGTTAAAAACTGCATTTAAAGTATATCTTCATCATTTTCATTATTATTATTTAGTACCAGTCTATTGATGTTCCCAACAAATGAAACGAAGTTTCACCACCCTTAAATTTTCTAACAAGTTACAAAATACTCGTTCCATGGCAGGAGATAATAGCACGACGCCTTCGGCTTGGCGCCTATTTAACGCGTTAGCAGCTAGTACCATTCATGATTCTAGATAGTTACATGCTGCGGTTGAGCTGTTTAAGTGTGATATGATCTTAATATTTTCTTGGTTTACTTGGTTCACTCTAATTAATTTATTTGTTCGCAGTGCCTCCTGAGAAGCCAGTAGTCGTGGACCGTTGGGGAAAAGTGATCAATGCCACCACTCTCGGGCCACACGAAGAAGGAGAAGATGTTCTACTTACATGCCGAGTATTGGGAGGTACTATATAAAATAAATAGTTAACATTTAGTGCTTTTCTCAGATCCTTAACTAAGTAGCTAAAGCTTTTGGAAATCTAAAAGTTACAACTATCTAGAAAAAATCATTTTCTCAAGTACTTATTAATCTATGTCAAGGTTGAATAGCTGCTCGTTTTTGTGACAGAAGAATTTTTTTGATGAGATCTCATTTCAGTTTGGAGCTAGTCCTTCTTTTTTATTTTCGTCTATTACATCTTGAGAATCAGTTGTAGGCTTTCTCAAAGAATACTCTGAGTCTCAGTGAACTTTTTGAAAAGGCGTTGAAATATTGGTTTTAGATAAACTCGGTTTTCGGTCCACTCCAAAGTATATATAATTAATGTCCGTGGTATGTATAATTAATGTCTCCAAAGTATTGATGAGATACAATTTAAAATTAAAGTCAAAAATAGTTTTCACTTGTGAAATTGTAATGCAAAAGAGTTTTAAACACTTTAAATTCTAAGTTGTTCGTGGATTTCTAGAATAAAATTGTACTAAATTGCTACTTGGAATAAAACTAAATTTCATGATTTCAAACATGGATGTGAATTAAAACGAATTAAATTAAATAGCATTCCAACAAAAATATTTATAATAGAATAGTGAACTATATGGAATACATATAATGTTTAATGATAAGTCTTAATAAAAGAAGACTACAGAATACGTACCTGTAACATATCCGATGTAAAGACTCTAACAATGTGTCTATTCGAACGAAATGGATTACTCGTCCCAGCCAGCTTAGCTAACAGGAAGAATACTCGAGCCGAAGAATGAAGGCCATCTATACCGGTAACAATCGCTCTTAATCTGAGAGCTTTGTGTGCCAAAAACTCGATACGCTGCATTCGACGATCTGAGAAAATAGTTACAAAAGCTAATATTTACAAAATACTCATGGCTTAGAAATATCTTAAATTATATTTATCGAATGGCCTGTTTAGAACCCATATAGAGATATGGAACCTGATTTTTTTATTAGGTTTTATTTAATCGTATGGCAACATAACAAATATCATTGGTTTAAGAGCCTAGAGATATCATAGCAATATCTCTAGGCTCTTAAACCAATCAATCGCGTCATTACTTAGAATGCATATATCTCCAGGGTCCCCGCTATCTTTACATTAGGTAAATATCAAAAACAGTATCGTAAATACAACATTTATCAATAATAATAGTATCTATATAAAAATAATTTGGTTTACTAATCCAAGATAATACAAATTTTTCATTATTAAATTATGATCTGATCCATCTAATTAGTCTAGTCGGTCTAATTATTAATTAGGTCTATAAATAATCTTTCAATTTGATATTTCATTTTTAATCTTTTTAGCTATGTATTAGACACTTAATAATAGTTTGAAATATTAAGTATTAATACAATATATTAATAATATTCACCACAAGGTCAAAGTCCAGTAGCAACAATCGCTCTTAATCTGAGAGCTTGTAATATTGCACCAACGTTTGATACATTTGGAAAAGTTGTGGACCTCACAATAAACTTCCCGCGAGTTTAAAAAACAATGTTATGTTTATTATTTATTATAGCAACGAAGTACTCTTATATATTTTACAATTACAGGATTACATACTGCAATAACTTTTATAAAATAAAGCATAATTTCTTATATTTTTATACTACACTCACACAAACGCACTCTACCGAAATGACATCATGACCTATTCGGCCGTTGATGAACTTCAGGAGTGACAAGGACAGAGAGCGTTGTCACTAAAAATTGAAAATAAATTAATAAACATATTACCTATTTAATTGAAATTATTCTTTTGCCTTAACTTTTTTCCGCTACTTAGTCACGTTAATTATAGAATATCACCTGCCTATATTATGGCTACCCGTAGGTGAAATATTTTTTTTAAATTGATCAGGTAGTTTCGAAAATATATAATGAAAATAAACAAACAAATATTTCCTCATTATAATATTATAGATCTAGTTAATTATTCATTTAATTATTTGACATCAGAAAAAGCAATTTTTTTAAATACTACTTGGTATATATGCCTTTTTTATTAAATATTCAATATTTTTTTTTATTTTTTCTTCCAATTCATCGACCTCGGTTCCTACGTCCTAATGATTTGTTCGTGAATCAGAAGTTTTGCTCATTAATTTGACTTCATTTTCTAACTCGCTTTCTCTTATCAATTGCAACTACCATCCGCGAATCTGAGCGAGCCCCTTCGCGACTCCCAACTCAAGTTTGTTTGTCGACGGAGTGTGTAGACACAGAAACGCTTTTATCGTGAGAAATATTGACAAATTCTTATATAGTAAATCGACATAAATACCTTTTGTTGATGGTAAAGTGTAAAGTAAATGATGTATTATGTCGCAATATCTTGAGATATATCCGCCTGCAGTGAAGACATTAAACGGCCCATGATGATAATGATGATGTGTAAAATATGTTGTGCACTAACTTTGTAATTAGTTGAAAAGTATAATACAAATTCTATCTCAATTAGCTTCATTATATTAAATAAAATAATAACCCATTTTCGAGTAGCATCTGACGCATTATTTTACGCTTTGTTGGCCAGCACTACGCTAATAGAAATCAATCAAAATCATAATTACAAATTGATAGGAAGAACTCAGGTTTTCCTCATCTACTATTCAAATCATCAAGTCCGTTTCGGAAACGGCTATTCCAAGATAATGATAAAATCGCATTTCTATAAATGAAACGTTGCCTCGCCGAATAATCACCAAGTTAAAATTACGCGATTCCAATCAAAATGGATTTTATCTGATTATAGTATACCCTCAAACGAAATTCGAATTGACGGGAGCCACTGAATTTGCATAATCGAGAAATTGATTGAGGCGTATATCCTGAGAGTACGCGCGAGAAAAAAAAATTGAAACCGACGGAACGTAGATGTCTTTCTAATGATCCCGGGGCACCGGATTCCGATAGAGCGAGCCTGTTGCTTGCCTCTGACATTTTAGACACGACCAATAAGTTTTCATATGCTAATATAGAAGAAAAAACTTTTTGTTTATTAAAACTTGAAGAATTTAAACATTATAAAGCATATCAAATAAGGGCAAACTCATAACTTTATCAAATTCAGTAAACAAAACAACTTCTTGATTACAAAAGACTGCCAAATTAAATCTTCATTACGCCAGCATGGTTTGTGTACGCTACAAATATCAGAATCCAATACAAAGCGACACTCGTTGTTTACTGAAGGGCACGCGCGAGAACAGTAAAAGGCGGGATGTGTCATTGCAAGCAGACTTTTTTATTTAGACGTATGTTATGTTTTACGCATCTGAAAATGTTGAATATTAATATAGAGATTGTTCATTTAAAGTTGTCGTGTTGACTAGTACTTGTTAATCGGGATAATCCTAAGTTCGACACATTTAACTATACACAATGAAATTTTATAAGGACTATTTAATTCAAATGTTAGGTCCATGTTTCCGTGGTCAGTGCAGTGATTTTTGATAAAGCAATAATAATCATATCTGTAATAGGTCTGATGCATTTAACCTTACTGATAAATCAGACCTACAAAATGATGAGTGACTTATAAACTAGATCATATTACTGGCTCACCATTGAAACACGACTCAGTGAATAGATGGAATCTCATTACTAAGTTTGGAATATTGCAGGCTGCGCAAAGACCTGTTTGTGTCAACACAAATCCAAATTAAAGCCATTGACATTCCGAATTAGATCGCTGTACCGTCATAGCACTTCAGACCTGAACTAATTCAATTTGGTCAAAGTGGATCTAAGGATAGTTCGGTAGAATCCGGGTACGAACAAAAGCACACAGCGATGGACAAATAAACAGACAAAAGGACAAAGGGCTGAAAGAGAATGCCTTCATAGAATTTATTTACGGAGTGGCCACGAGCCACCGCTGGAATGCGGAAAAGTTTTATTTCGTGGCAGTTAATTGATATTTGCGTTAGAATTGAGCATTTCGTGGACGATCCCAATTAACATTGTGCTCGTTCTTACCATTCGGTTATTCAATTAGTAATCACGTAGAGTGTGCTACGCGGGAAAACAATGTTATTTGCCGTGTGCTCTCAAATGAATAAAAGTATTGTTATACTTGGACAAATAAGCTTGGAATAATATCTATGATATGTTGATCAAGATACTTTTGCTTTTATAATATTAAATGTAATAAACACAAAATGGAACATTGGTCATCCTCCGTAGTAAAATGGCCTGCACGACGGTTTCGAGTACGACTTCTAGCCGAGTCAATGTAGGAAATGATTTGTTGTTTATGTATTGGTTTTCATTTTGGTAATATATTCTTTGTAGCATATTTCCCATTATACAAGAGCTTTAACTACTTACTTAAGAACTGAGCAATGAACAATATACTTTTCAAGATCTTACTTATTATTTTAATTTAGTTTCGAGGTTTCATCCACATAGATATCCCAAGAGCTCACCTATTGGGTGTTAAATTTTCTAATTTCTTTTAGGGCGACCAGAACCTTCGGTAAGATGGCTGGTAAACGGAGTTTTGGTTGACGAAGAGTATGAGCATAATACTGGTGACGTAATCGAGAATCGTCTGCTTTGGCCAGCAATACGGCGCGCAGACTACGCCGCTGTATTTACATGTCAAGCTGCCAACTCAAAACTTGTGGCGCCCAAAGAGGTCTCATTAGTTCTGGACATGTTTCGTAAGTATTAAAACCTTCTTAAAAACTATATCTATACTAAGAAAATCTATTTCTTTACAGTTTATTTTAAAATAAAAGTTTAATAAAGGTTCAACATATTATTTGGAAAATCACGTAACATAATAAATCTGTGATATTTTGGAGAAACATTTTTATTATTTAAGATTTCGATCTGATTCCTTAGATATTATGGTGTCTTTTTCTAATTTTCAAACGCATTTTATTTAAATTGTTCTCAATTAATTTGCTATTGGTGATGTATCTAATATATTATTCGGGGATCATCGAAAAACTACGCACAAAATACTAGTCAATTTGAAAGTCATATCATTTAAAATTATCATCGAAATCTATTAAGTGATCAAACACAATGAAGATTTAAATGTAATATGTGTGCTCGTAATAATTTTTTTAAGAGTTCACACGTATTCAGATTATAAAATAGTTAAGATAAACTAATAGCTTTCTTCGTTATTGTTTGCAGTAAAACCATTAACAGTAGAAATAAAGAAACCATTAGAAATGGGTGAAGGTGGGGTACTAACAGCTGAAAGGCGGTATGAGGTGACATGCGAGTCTGCAGGCAGCCGTCCACCTGCCATCATCAGTTGGCACAAGGGCAAACGTCTCCTCAAAAGAATCACCGTAAGTGCTTATTATTTAAGTCAAATAAAATATATAAACTAAAATAATTAATATTTTTTGTTTGATAAAAGAAATAACACAATTTTTTTTGTTATAATCTTATGTTACCTTGTTCCTACCTACTATTTTGTTCCTCGAAATTCAATACAAGCGTTAGCAAAAACTTTATTTAGATTACATTAGTAACAACTAAAGTAAAAACTCTATGAATTATTAGTAATAAATGTGGTACTCTCATTAGAGTTGCTTGTGTGAATTTTATTTAAACGAGATATTTAATATCAACTTAATAAAACTGTATAGGAAAACTATGAATACAAACTTCCAGTTTCAATGTTCCCTAGCAGCAGTTATGCCTATGTTGAATTAGTATTCAACAACAACTAACTAAATTCCGCATCCGGTTTTCCGAATCCTACATTAAAATTAGCACGTTTCCAAATAACTACCCTTAATTAATTCCATCGCAGCATTACTGGGAGCGTCCCCGGCATCTTCGCAATCGAGAGATTCGAGTTATTTTGATGCAAAAGTTCTGAATCTAGTCGGTATTGATTTTGGTGTGACGTAACGTGTTGGAAAACCACTAGAAGTTTGAGATACAACTATATGCTCTATGTTCAATAATACGATTAACTAAGTCCATCGCACTTGAATATATTTACAGGACTTAAGAAATAATTTGAAAGTGTATTAAACTTCAAGTTAAATTTTCGTTTATACGTTTGAATTAGTCATTATTCATTTATATCCAACATTCCCCAAAGTCCACAATTATAATAAATAGGTAATCATAAAAATAATGTTATTATAAAGTCCATTACGAGAATGAAATCTTGTTTGATAACTTTAGATATCTCGTTAAACACGCCATTTTTATTCACATAGTCTTCTACACGGTACTAAGTTCCCTGTTTATTTCTATAGATATAGTTGAATTTGTTTTAATCTCAAACTTGGAGACAACTAGGTATTGATTTTAGTGCTGCACTCGTAAGCTGGAGAACCGCCAAGTCAGAGTTCGACCCGCGTCCATCGTTGCACAGTAATAACCACTACCAAAGGCACCTTGCAAGCCGTAATTATTCAGGGGAAACCGTAACTGTTTTTTGAAATCCGATTTTATTTGTAAAGTCACCAATAGGGCGTTTACTACAAAGAAAAAAGAATATCTACCTCATGATAAGAATCAATAATATTATAAATATTAGAAGCAAAGCAATAATAGCTTGTTATCGGAAGATACTGAATTCTACAATATGTAATATACATTAACTTGGTATTATTATTAGAATACCTTATATCTAATAATAGTACCAAGTTAATCTTCCTACACAAATCTGCAAATCTGTAGTACAACTGTAGTCCCATTCAAAATGGACTGAAATAACTGGTACACAAAGTGTCTAAACTATTCATTGGCTCCTATGTCCTCGTCAAAGTATTTACAGGCGCATGAAAGCGCTCACGCGTCAATTTCCACCCAGTGAATTGCAACGTCCGAATAAGAAATATCGTCGGACGTACACCGTAGCTCTTTAACATTGTATTCCGATACACTCAGATTTTGTGAAGTGGCTAACACGACACGCTAACCCGATTCAGATTTTTGGATCTCTTGAATTGGATCAAATAAAAGTTTTATAGTATCGATTTTCGATTTCCGCATATCCTCATATCGCGTGATCGCGGAATACTAACGTGCAGCCTAGTTGGACCACAGCCAGCCTTCTTTTCAACCTTTTGCATCGACAATATCGATTACGATACCGTTAACGCTTTTATTATTCTGCTATATAATTATATCGACAAATTCGCCCTTTTATTGAAAGTCATAACTGTCCCGAAACCCGAGTGTGCCTTATAAATTTATTTGCTTTTGTTTGCAAAATCCAGACTCGATTTTGTCCTCTGTTTTTTAATATGAAGTCTATGTTGTGATGAGTATGAATTAATAAAAATCTACTTATATCTATTAAATAAGTTCCAAAGTGCAGAAAATTGTACGAGTATATTGTTGTTTCAGTACTTAAATTATATATAAATGACTTAAGGATAATATTGAATTAATTTAAACGGATTTTGAGATTCTGCCGATATTAATATAAATAATAAACTTCTAGAAACCTGTTGATGTATCGAAAAGGATCTGCTTTCATAGCCCGAAGTTTGCGATTGAGCTTAAAATAGTCCCATTGCAGACGTTACCGTCTCCCAGAGAAACGTAATATGATAGTATTTCTTAGAGATGTCCGCCGCGTGTGGGTACGGCGCCGATAGCCGCCTGGCATTTCGCCAAAAGCTACATAATTATCCCCTATTAATCTTACAGCCAAATCGTTTCCTGCAAGGGATTCTAAAAATCACTACCTCTAAATAAGATAAGAGAATATCAAACCATTGTATTATCTACAATAGAGGTTTTCTCCACAATCCCAAATTTCCTAAGATTAACATAAGGCAAAACTTAATTTGAAAGCATGTATATCAAGTTACTAGATCAAGCAGCGTAGAATATAAACAAAGGATTATTTAATTACATCCCGACAATCGCTGCGATAGACAAACAGATCTAGTGTGTACACAACTGCTCATGTTTCCTACATTCAACATACTATACATTAGACCAATTTAGATGATAATACGCGGGCAAATATTTATTCTCGAACAGCACCCGCCTCCGTGTTCTTCGATATTCAAAAATAATAGTATACCCAGAGGCCGCTTACTTTGTAAACAAGCCCGCAATATTCAAGGGAAGTTCGGGTATTGAAACATATTACAGATTTGCCGCATGAACGATTACAAAACGATCAGTCGTGCATACAATTAGTCGCTTGAGTGAACACACCGCAACCTCCCATAAACAGTAGGCAAACTAACGAAATATTAGGATAGGATAAAATTAATAAAACTGTGTGAAACTACATCAAGCGATATGATGAGTAATCACAATTTTATTTTATACTACCCTAGGGAACTGTTTATTGAATATCTGTTCATATATATGTAAATATGTACATGTGTACTAATACGTACATGTATATGTAAACAACCGTTACTGTGGCAACGTTTTAATTCCCTATACAAACTTCCACTCCCATTTTCATCCGTTTATTTTAAACTATAGCTTATGTTCACTGCATATGATGTGACATCATATGACATGACAAACAAACAATCAAATCTTTCCTCTTTATAATATTAGTATAGATGGGATAGATATAGACGAATGATTCAATAGGATCTAATTAAGTAAAGATTTTTTTTTAATAATAATTCAGCATTTTTGTAAAAGTAATGAGCGTAAGTAATAAGCGAAAAATAGATTTTTTTTTTGTTATTCTGAATGATGAAGGTCACGAGAATTGTAATTATGTTGTATTCATAAATAACGATTGATTGTGTGTAAACATGGATATTATGAGAATGTTACCTCAGATGAAAAACAAAAAGTATCAATAAGGATACTAGTTCAACAATCTATGCCAATTGAATATTGTAAAAGGACATAATGAAATTACTGTCACTTGGAAATTATAATTTATTATTATTATTATATTAATTTAACCTAATTAAGGAGAACGTGATTCATACATTTTTTTTGACGCACGGAAATGCATTACATCATACCTCGGGTCGCCAGCGCGGCTAACCGGGGTTATGTGGGACTCCCCCCTGCGGACCCGCCCCACAATGGGGCTAGTCAAAGAGCAGGGGTATACCCAATAAAACCCAGCGATCCCGTGCATCGCCTTCCATGCGAGGATCAGAATTACTGGACTATTGCCTTATATCAGGCTACCTTATGCTGTGTAATGGTGAATTCTATTAACAAGTAAATGGTATGGCGTTGGGCTCTCCTATATCACCCACAGTTGCCAACATTTTCATAGAGGACTTTGAGGAGAGGTCATGACACCATTACTATTTTACCAAAAAATAAAGATTTTGCTTTCTTAAACTATCTTAATTATTTTAATAAACCCTAAAATCCAATTTACTATGAAATTAGAGGCAGACAATAAACTAGCCTTCTTAGATATATTGATCACTAGGAATCCTGATCAAAGTTTGGGCCATACTATGTATCGTAAAGCTACATATACTGAAAGATACCTCAATGGTGACTCACAACATCATCCTAAACAGTTAGCTACCGTAGGGAACTGTATTTACCACGTCTGTCACATGAACAACGGGTCAAGCCTACCAGTCAAGCGTGTGACGAACAAGATTGGAAGGATTTTAAAACGAGCTTCTGTCAATACTTACTTTAATCCGCCGCGAATTCACCAATTCTATGACTTTTTAGAAATCGCTTTTCGCTTACAAAAAGAATGATCATAATGTTCACGACAGATAAAATATTGCAAAAAATTGCCTGCTTTGCACAGCGCTGCGATAACTGGCGCATGTAGGACTTGTATTGGGCATGATCCACACAATAATACAAAAGTAGTAACAGTTGTCGCAGGAGTGTTGCGCGGTAGTCCCTAGGTATCGAGATAGCGGTATGAGTGAGATTTCACCGTCAACTCGTTCGCTTAGTTGATGTTCGGTCGCCTCGACTGCGGTGTGGAGATTGTAGATACTATATGGAAAATTCGATCCCACCACGCAGCTAGTAGTAACCGAATGGACAAGAGCTCAGCTCCAACTCATTTAAAATCCGGAGATCCAGACACTAAAGGTTTTTTCAATGTTTCCTCTGACGAAACTTTACATGCGACACGCGTGGTGGATTCCTTGCTTTGACAGGGCGCAGCCCAGGGCTCCGATAGATACATTTCAAAAAAAGATTTAAATACAACAAACTAGACCGACACAACCGCTCACAGTTGAGAACGCTCGAAAGAATACAGTTAGTTCATTCTGTAAATATTAGATCAAAGGGAGCAATTCACTTTTCTTGTCGGAGCTTGTTTCACCGTCTGGGTGTCCCAAATTTGGTACTGGTGGTAATTTACGTTAGCTAGGGGTAAATCTATAAGTTAAATCTATCTTTTAAAATATTCGATTTAATAAATGTAAGCTTTTCCATAAAATTAAAAAAAGGTATTATGAATGTTTCCAATAGTATTCTTTCAAAGGTAGCTATACTCTTAATTAAAAAGACATTCAGCACCTTAACCTTATATGAACACGGAACTTGTAAAGTGTCCTGAACGTCAATCAAAGAATCAATCATTATGAAACCGTTTAAAAGTTGTTTCATTTAAAACACAATTAAAGAGTCTAATTAAAATATCAAATGATGGACTTGATTATTCTGTAAAAGTTTATGCTCAAACCAGTACGGGAAATATCTAGCGAGTTTCAGTAGTTTTAAATTATTTACCTACTTAAATTGAATTGTTAGGTAACCAAAATGACTTCACAGTTGTTGCTTGAACTCCTGCAATCATAATTTAATGTTTTTGTAGTTAGTGCAGTAAGGATATATTTCTTCTATACTTCTTAATCAGTCATCATATTTCTTACCCATGTCACTTATATACATAAACATTAACCATATCATCGTACTAGCATAATGCAATATGGACTCTAATATCTACTCCTGTAAATCGTTACTTCACATTATCAAAACTGTCACCTGAGTCGTCTCATCTTTAATAGACTGTTTTGTATTCCTAAAATTCAAAAATACTTATTGTCATTCAATCCCTTCATTTACAAAAGTCTCATATTCTCAAAATACAGCATTATGAAGGGCGCAGAGGCGTGATAAAGCGTCCCTCCCGCACCAAAAATGTACCCTGAAATCGTTTTCTTAAATGTAAATATAAGTAAACAGGGAAATAGACACATAAATTATTTACCGAGTCACAACTCTTCAGTGACGCATTGCCGTGTGGTGTAAATCATGAACGACCAGCATATTAAATTACTCGTATTAAACTAGAAGAAATATTTTGATTTTTGGGTAAGTTTTATTTATTACTAAAGTTAGTTGTTGTTATTATAAATACGAAGCGAAATGAATTCGTCAATTATTTTATCTACACATATGTCACTTTTCTCGGGTACGGGTTTCATATAAGACTGATATCAAATTTCTATTGCATTCCGCTCTTAAGCTGCGATTAAAAATAAAATAAAAAAAGATTGTACCAAGACTTTATTTCCACATTATCTAACGTGCTAACAGTTATGTAACAACGGTTTGGTCACTTGAAGGTCTTATTGGTCGATCACTTTATAATGTAACAGTAATGACTCTAAAATATTATTTCTTCTATTAAATAGCTTTACGGAAAATCTTTACTTGAATAACTATTTTACTTTAATTGTATGTGTTATGATAAAGTAAACGGTTATTATATAATCATTGTTGAAGATATGAGTTTCATCATGTAGATAATCACACAAGAGCATGTACAAATCTATGATAAATTGTAAACTTAATTGTTAACAGAGGGATTAAGAATAGCAGACGCGCTGTCGTTTGTATGTGTCGCAGACAAAATTTAGAATGTTTTAATCCAAACTAGAAGTTTTGACATATTTTATTTATTCTTATAGTTGCTCTTCACTTACACCAACTGCCCTTAGAATTTTGCATAGGCCGTGAAATGTTTTACGAGGGCCAAGAAAAAGTCGAGCGGCCGAGAGTGGCATTATCTTATTCACTCGCTCGGCCGAGTATGGCTCTGTTTTATTTTATCGGTGGAAAACCAAAATCGAAAGAGTATTGCTGGAAATACCTGCGGAAGCTTTTTATCATTGACTTTTTAACAAAACCTTTTGTTGCGACGTTTTAAAACCGAACGAAATAAAACCTTTTTATAGTAGTAGTAATGAAATTTATTCGATGCTCATTATTATTCAGCTTTTCGTTATAGGAATGCACAGTAAAATTTTATTGTGTAATGAATTATTAAGTAGCTGACATTCTGGTTAGACTATTATTTACATTTGTTTTGATTTACTTTTTAGAGAGCTCTGTTATAATAAATTATTTTATTTTATTTCTCACCATAATCATTACAAATGTAGTAGCTTAATACATATAATAATAATATGATTGTGGCGGATTGACATCTCGTTAGGCGAGATCTCGTATTCGAGATTATCAATCTTTATCCACCTCTCAAATATCACAGAGACAGCGTTACATTCAACAAAAAAAATATTTTGTTAAACAAATTTGCACTAATGAATTAACAAAAAGAATTAAATTTATATTTTAAAATATACACAAATGAACACGATCAACCTAGATTATGCGATACCTACTATTCGTGAAACTTTTATTTAAGTTAAACAGTTATAAACTACATAAAATCTCCGCCCGGTTTCAATACAAGTTGTTTTTAATAAGTTTGTTAACAACTTTTTTTGTTATTTGGAATTTGTTACTTTTGTTATTTAATGCTAATAGCAATGCCGGAATAATAAAATACATCTTTCAAAACTACTCTCCAGTAAACATTATCATAGATATCTTTTGTAAATACCGACAATGATCAACTCAATAAAATATTGCTAATGTGTTCAGAAAGTATATTTAAAAAATGTTTTACAAAGGCTGTTGCTCATTAAAGATTAAAAATAGTAAGTACGTTGCCAAGACGACATCATATGGCTCATATTGTCAAAAAGTTGATTAAATGTAATAGTTATCAGATTTGTCAAAAAGTTATCAGATCTCATGAGATCTGACAACGTGAGCCTAGCTCATGAGCTAAGCTTCTATAATAGGGATGATGACTAATTTTGTTTGTTTAATAATGAATGTTTCTTACTACTCCTCTTGCTTTTCTTTCAAGGTACTGTACTCATTATGACATGACCAGTAACCACAAGCGATAAACGGACACGGTCCCATGTCCGACCAAAGAGCAATGTAACAGCCAACGAGCCATAGAGCATCAACACTTTCACGGGTGATGCAACCGTAGACTATAGCCAAAAGGCAATCGAAATCAAAAATCGTCACTGCTAGCCTACATTAAACGGTTCGCCGTTAGGCTTGCAGTGACAATTTTCAGATGACTCAAAATTAGTCAAAATACGTAAATTGGCTGTTATTAGTGTCACACGGGCGTAAGCTAAAAAATTATTCACTCTTTATTTTCTAATCGAACCTAATCGGTCAAGTCACATGTTTGAACTAAAATGAAATATTTAGAAGTTTGTTATTTTGGCTTTAACCACTATCACATCGTTGAATGAGTAAATGCATAAGTCAGGGACAAAATCGGTATTTTTAAAATTATGAATGAATTCTAAAATATAAAACCTATGCAATTGAAATTTTATTTGTTTAAAATTGCCCTATTGACATCATACCTAGACAATTTCATTTGTCTGGTGTAATCTAAATTTAAGTTATGAAAACAACGACGAAGCGCTTCGAAAATTTGTAGGTAGTGCCTTTGCTTATTATCTTCGCGGTTCAGTGCCGTACCCTAAACCGTATATTAACAAGTAATGTTAATAAATGATATTATTTTTGTATAAATCGGAGCTTATATAAATCGGATCAACATTCCTGCAAATAAAGTAATATTAATATAAAAATATCGGAATCCAAACAACTGACGAAATATTGAAAGACTTCCTGGTTCAACTCGGATTATCTATATCAATATTATAAAAAGGTCAAGTTTCTACATTTATTTGTTTGTTATTTTCGGAAATACTGATCAGATCATGAAAATTCTCTCACCTACAGGAAGCTACATCATACGCAATTGCTATAGGCTACAATTTGCGTGGGCGAAGTCGTGGGAAAATAGCTAGTAGATAAATAAACTAACAACCGAATTACGGCTAACACAACACGACCTTAACTTTTGTTTACCGTACCTTTGGAAAAATGAAAAGAGTCGTCCGAACGGAAATATTTACACAGTATCGGCGCAAAGTTGTAAGCGCCGGAAAAAAGTCCGTCATAGGGCAAAAAACAGCTTTATCATTCGGAAATCTATCAAAACGGACGCCCTAAAAACAAACGATGAGGCGACGGAAAAGTCGGAAAATAAGCGAGGGACGTTTAACGAAACGGAGGGCAGGCGAGCTCACATTGTTTCGTTTAATAAATAAACAAACTTTAGGAGGCCATATTGAAAAATAAGACCCTCCGAGATTGTTTACAATGAGAAGCTCGATGGCGATGGCACTGCACTTGTGACGGTTGAGCAACTTTTTCATAGATGGGTGACCAAAATATTTCAATCTCTAGCTCTTACGTGCTTGTTAAGCACAAGAAATCATTGAATGAAAGTGCACATGTTGTAGGTAACAAGCATTCACGCGCACTAGGCTCGGTGGGTTGTGACCCGTCTTTATGTGTTTTTACCATAATTATAGACTAATGATGATGATTACCTGGGTGATTGTTCTATCGATTGAGTTACCTAAACACATTATCTTAATCGAAAGAAATAATTTGGAAAAAAAAATCGCATAGTTGTTTAGGTTGCTTTGTTATTGTCCTGTTTTATAAGCGTAGATGTTAGCGGTTTGCATCTGCGACTGCTTAATGACTTAATACCCACCAATACGCACTGGGACCGCGTGGTAAGTCATGGTCTATTATCCCTATTCGATTTGATTCTATTCCATCTATAGAGATGGACTGAACCTCAGCAGTGGGGTCATCAATGGGTTAGTGACGTTGATGATGTCTCATTAAAGTTTTTAATAGCTCAATTGGTCGAGCAACTACCTAATTTGCAAAAGGTAAGTTTGAATTCAACCTCTAATATGTTAAATCATGAAATTTTTTAACTTTATAAAAATATATATCA